ATTAGAACGTGGCAAATGGGTAGGGGGGAGGAAGAGTCAATGTCAATAGTCTCTGTCTCTAATTGACTCCCCTTTTTTCTGTTTTTTCCTTCCCTCCCCCACCTCCATTTATGTAGAAACTGGACCTGTAAAAAGTCAATGTCAATAGTCTCTGTCTCTAATTGACTCCCCTTTTTTCTGTTTTTTCCTTCCCTCCCCCACCTCCATTTATGTAGAAACTGGACCTGTAATGACTCCGGCCATGGGCAGGGCAGTGCCCACGAAGGCTCGTGCTGCCGCCTGCTTGTCTGTTAGTCTCTGAGGTGCTGCAGGCGATTTGTTGGTTTTTACGATTTTCCTAAGTAAATGGCTGTTGCACCTGACCCGTCGGGGGGGACTGGGGATTGCTGCTTTGAGCCGGGGTCTCCAGCTGAGATTGCCATTGGCTGCTCCGGGGTGGCCGCAGGCTCGGAGGTCAGCACCTGCGACGTGCCAGCAGGGCTCTGGCTGTCGGGGTGGGGAGATTGGTTTAAATAAGCGGCCGGGCTGCAGCTGTTGCTACGTGTCTGGAGCTGTCCAGCTCTCGGGGGCCTCCCCTGGCCCCTTTGGCCTCCCTTGTCTGGGGCTGTAGACTCGCTTTAGAAGTAGCCAGGCCAACTCTCAGGGATGAACGTGGCCTGAGCAGATGGGGTAGGGGAGTCCGAGGCAGCAGCACAGACGGTGCTTTTGTGCTACGGCCTTGCCCGTGTCCTGCCACCACCTGCTCAGGGTTAGGAGGATCGGGCTTGGGTGCCCACGCCATTGGCGATCCTGTGCGGCTGCTTCGGAGCTCTGCCTTGGCCGCTGGACCCTCCTCACGAGGGAGGGCTGGCGGCTTAGTCACTCCTTAAACACGCCTTGCTGCTGGGTTCATTCTGCTCAGTGGCCGGTGTGCACAGAGCGGGTGTCGCACACGGACGTGTGACCTGCGAGGCCCCGGCTCGGCTCTGGGGCCCTGGGCCGTGATCTGGGACTAGTGCAGGGTTGGTTTTGTTTGTGACGGAAGCTCTTCAGGGTCTAAGCAGAAGTCGCGTCTGTTCCACAGGAATCCTCCGCCTCGGGGCAGGTCAGAAAGCCCCATCTGCAGATCCAGGCAGCCTCTGAATTTCCATCTGAGTTTTGGAAATTGTTTTCTCATGGAAAAAATTGCTCTCTTGCGCCTCACCTTTCAAGCTGGAATCATTCCAAGCTGGAGAAACGTCTCCATTCAGAGCCCTGGCCGAGCGCTCCTGGGAAGTGTCTTGTCACCGTGGGGTTCGTGTAGAACCTCCCGTCTGGGGTGCAGGACTCTCCGATGCCAGGCAGCATCTGCAGCTCAATGGAAACGGAGCCGGTGTGGCTTCCTGACCCACCTTTTCCAGGCTAATTACAGACCTTTGGTCCTCAACATCTCATCACCATTCATGGCACCCGGCATGAAAATGGGAAAAGCTGCGAGTCCCCCCCAAGCCTCTTCGCAGGGCACCCCTGGGTGACGGGTAATTTGGGCCATTAGGGTGAGCAGCTCTGGCGAGGGACTGGTGCAGGGAGCTGGTCTTTCGAGGGCAAACAAGCCATTTTTACATAGTCACTCATCCGGGTAGACGCACCCCGCAAAGCCGCTGTGCACTCCAGCTTGGTTTCCACAGGAGCCTGAATTTTCTCAGTCATGATCAGTCTCTTGCTGAGACCCCATCTCCGGGTATGTCTGCACTACAGAATTTTGTTGGAAAAACAGTCGTTTTTCCTACAAAACTTGAGGAACATCCACACTGCAATTACGTTCTTCCGCAGGAAAATCAAAAGAGCAGAGGGGTTAATCCTCCTTCTACGAGGAAAAAGCCTTTTTCCCAAAGAGCCCTTTCGCAAGCAGCGTGTGTGGCCGGGGAAGAGGGAGGTCTTGCGGAAGAAGAGGAAAGAGGAAAAAGCTCAGGTGCCCTGCTGGACACGCCGTCCATAGCAGGGAGCCTCCATTCGGTCTTGGACAGAACCTGCAGGCCTGAGCCTGTGGGGAGGCCTCTAATGCAG